CTTATTGCTTTTTTGTGTGTTTCTCATATCTGTATTTGTGGGATGCAATGCAAATCTTTTTGCAAATAAAAGCTACTTCCTCCAAAATGATGCCTCGGTGCCCTTTGTATGGGATTGAGTATATCTTGATTTGGCCTTTTGAGTTATTGATTTGCTCAAATTACTTCTGTAACATCATCCAAGTCTTAAGCACATGAGCTTTCAAATAAATACACGATGGCCCTCTTGCTAGTTCACTGTGCGTGTTTCATAATTTGGATGCTTATTCAAGCTACCAGTTGATTAGAGAGGTTAATATGTGGAACAAAATTCTTAATCACTGTATCATATTCTTGGAGTCAAAATGCTTCCATAGCACTCAATTTTGATGAAGGGATGGACTTCGTTTTCTCCTACAACTCCTAACGTGGTTTGCCTTGTGTACCCTTTGACATGGTGGGGGTGACGACTCACTATGATGTGACTGGACATTTTCCTTTAACACGCAAAATAACGTAAGATAAAATATGACTTGTATATAAAAATGTCATTTTTATGCACGGATGAGAACAAAAGAAGTATTATAATAATAAGAATATAATAAATATTAGAATCCGTTGGCACAAAAAGGGTTGATTATTTGTCAATTCTTCTTTTTAATAAGATTATTTGTCAATTCTGATGTGGTCAACTAAATAGATGGATATTATAATTGTATATAGAGAAAACCTAAGAGAAAGTGTAGAAAGGATTTTTATTTGTATATTTATAATTTTTTCACGATGGAAAAGAGTAATTTTATATATTTATTAAAAAAAGAACCTAAAAAACGTGGCATATAACTACTTGCTAGGCGTTTTGCAGCACTAAAATTGGTGTACTTCAGTTTGTACTCCCGTGCTCCCTTATTATAGAGTATTCGTCTTTTTACGCTCATGATGCTTTTGAAGTACAACCTCGGGGGTTTCTTGGTTTTAGCATCTTTTTTTTTTTTTAATAAAACATTAATTTTATTCATACTCAAAGATTTTTTTGACCAGATTCACACTCAAAGATTACATAATAGTAGCACCAAGGACACAAGGTTTGACAATAACTAAGTTATTTTTCATTATTTATAACTAGGAATATAGGTTCTGAAATATGTTAATGTCACCCGGGTTTTAAATACTCCTTATTCTCTACAGTCTAAGGTACATAAATATTCAAGGTGTAAAAAAAAAAAAAAAGGTACAAATACATTAATCACTTTCAGGTTTGATATAAAACTCTATAAAAAATTTCTCAATTTCACCCTTAATTTCAAGGAATCAATCAATTAATTAATTGCTTATATAATTAAACGTATGTTTTATTTCAACGTTTTATTTCAAACCACAAATCAACTGGTCTAAGCAAGCAATCAACTTTACATCGCCATACAATTTTATGTTTTTCTTAATTTTTACAAAGTATTTCCAGACAATGTGTACATGTGAGTTGTATTTTCTTGTCTTGATAACAAAGTAGAATGTTGCTAGGGACACCCTACTATGGAAGCTATGGAAACCTCTTCCTTATCCTTTGACACATGTTGTTTGGGGAAACAATGCTTTAGATAGAGATACATTTTGAGTAGCTTCACAGATATTCCTTCCCTCACTTTCTTATATTTTCTTTCTTGGAAAATTATGGAAGAAGTCCCTGTCAGAGAATAGCTAGAAAGATTGAATATAATGAAGTTGAGAATAACTATACTGCCCTTGGAGTATAATGACAAAGACATTCCAATATATGGGTTTGATTTTGGACTGGAAAGTGACTCAGATTATGGGAATTCATCGATCGGTAGTATTTTCCGGGATTCATGAAATTTTGTTTGCCGGAAAAAAATGGCATGTAGGAAATATTGTGATTAGGTAATGAAAGGGAATCACACAAAGGGGTATCACTTTACAGCCAGGAAGAAAAGGATCGATGGATGTGTCACATATTTTCATCTTCATATTCAACAACCAACAAAATTAGAGGGAAAAAGAGAGAGAAGTTTATTTATAAAGAATGAGTTTCCTTGTTCATGACTTGATAATAGTGTAACTTACATTTTATTGGCTGAATTATACAAAAATTACCTAAATTTTGAATCTTGTGCAAATTAAGTAACTCTTTAACCTTTTAAAAGTTGATAAGAAATTGTTCATAAATTTTTAAGTCTGCCAATTAATTCATTAATGGCGAATATTATGTTACTTGAAAGTTTATGGGGAGTTTATTATAAAATTTCAAGAATCAGGAAAGTTATCTGCTCAAAATTCAATAGGGATTATAGATAGGATTTATGCTATTTTATGATTAATATATTGATTGATAGTTGATGATTGATGCCTATTGGTTACAACTAATGAAATCTCCAATGTACTTCAACTTAATTATTATAACAAATAACAATAAATTATTGCCGCCCTTCAATTGATTTACTAATTCGGCAGATTAAAGTGAAAGTCTTAGGTCCATAAAAAAAAAAAAGGTGAAAGCTTTAGATTGTATACTTTGATATATATATATATATGTATAAAATAAACTAAAATAAAATATTCTTTGTCATGTATGTTTCACGTTGACGGGAATATTGAATTATAGTAACCAAAATGCTTTAATTTATGGCAACCATATATATAATTAAGATTTTGACAAGATATGGAAAAGAAAAAAAAAAAGAAGATTGAAAAGGAGATTGCTTTGTTAGGAAGAGGACATCAAATGCTTTAGTTAAAATAAGTAGTTAGACCCTAATGGAAAACATGCAAATAATGTAAGCTATACACTACCTTAAATTACACATATCCCATCAACAAACAATTGTCAAGCATCAAACAATTTAACCTTATTTTTTTAAAAATTCCAACTTGAAAAAAAACATAACATATATACATATAACATAGTGAGTAGGGATTTTTAATACAAGGTTTTAATTATTTGCTTTCATATTTTGTTGTTTATCACCATGTCATGTCATTCATTGCATTATATGAAATAACATTATTTTTGAAGCTTGAATCAAATATTATGGCATGCCAATAGTTAAGGGATGGCTCAAAACAGATCATAAAAATTTTTTTTTTGAATTGAAATATATATATATATATATATATATATATATGTGAACACACGTGAGTTTGAAGTCTAAAACTTAAAGAGAGAGGATTATGTGAATTGGAAGCAAAAGGGCTTACGTTTGATAAAAAGAAAAATGATGATTACCTTGTGAGTGAAGTAAAATATATGGAAAGAGACAAGAATTGAGTCAAAGACAAGAACACCAACCATCGCTCTTCCTGTCTCTCGTTACTTTCTTCTCCATGTATTATTAATGGAGAAAAGTTTTCTTAATTACAATCATTTTATCAAATGACAAAATCTCATTAATTATAATAAGTTGATTTTGAAAGTGAGTTATACATATGGCCAAAAAAAAAAGTGAGTTATACATATCATTATTTTTATTAACTTTTAATTATCAATATTAACTTAACTATGTTTGCAATAATATTAGGAAGTCTCACAAGTTAGTTGAAACAAAAGAACAACTAGTTGGATGAAAAAAAATGAGGTCTGCAATGATTTTTAAGGGCTAAGGTGGATCTAACATCCTAAAGTATTTTTTCAGGTGCATTCAATATTTTAAAATATTTTGTAATGTATCCTGCACCATGAAATATCTTTTTAGATGTGTTCAGTACCGTGAAATATTTTTTGATGCATCCAACACTTTAAAATATTTTTTTCTAGATGTGTCCAGTACTTAAAAATATTGTTTGGTGCATCTAGCACCAAGGTTAAAAAAAAAATACTCCAAAGTACTGGATGCACTTAAAAAATACTTTGGGATACTGGATGTATCACAAAATATTTTAAAGTGCTAGATGTACTTGAAAAATAATTTCAGGGTCTTGGCCGCACTTTAACCTGATTTTTAATGCAATTGACTTTTTTTTTTTACCCAAAAGCCATTTTAAAGTTGAAGCAATTCTTTTTAGCTTTTAACTTTCGGTTTTTGGGTTTTCTTCATACTTGACATTTTCAAAATTGATTTTTCAATTTATCATAAAAATAAGTTTCTGTCTCAACCTGATTTTTCTATAGTTTATACAAAGATAAATCAAATTACACTAACTAATTTTTATTCCAGTTTTAGTTTAGTTGGGATAAAAATCACTTTCAACTATGTTAATCCAAACAAGTCATAAGTATCAATCTACATTTAGCTGCCATGCATCTCTATACATTGAATTGATCATGATGTATATATATAGTCTTGCATTTGAACATCCTTATGTTTAAAAGAAGTGATATAAGAGATTGTGTACACATATGTATTTCTAAGCACACACTCATGTACTACTTCCGGTCCTATTTATAAGACATCATTTGTAAACTATAAATGGGATCTTATAATTAGAATCGGAGGTAGTACCTTTTTTTCCACCTTTTTTTTAATTTTATAAAATGCATCTTCTATGATTACAAATTTGAATTGATATATATTTTTCAGTTTTAAATGTAAAAACTAGATAACTAATTTATAAAAATAAAAAATAATAAAATTAATTATTTATAATATATATATATGTTGGTTTCTGAAAGTTTCGTGTTCAATCATTTGCAATGAAAACTATTCCTACATAAAAACTCTTGTTCAGCATATGTAAAAAAAATTATAATTTTTGAAGGGAAGGTCCCCCTTGAGTCCGTTTTGTACTCTTCCCAGGATCAGCCAACGAACTCAAAAGGCTCAATACATGAACACATATATAATATTCATATAATTCCTATTTGAAGCAAACCCCACGAAACCATCAGAATCATCATCACCATTCCCACCCCATGAAGCTACCCCCCCTCTCTCTCATATTCTTCTCTACACACGCACACTCATATATATATATATATATATATATAGGTATAGTAATTTTCTCTTACATCGACCACAAGGCCATCACTTAAGAAGCTTGCCTTATATATTAATGCTTGTTTGTTTGTGTGTGTAGCAATAAATAGCAACTAGCTAGATTTGATGATGGCGAAGGACAAAATGAAGAACAATAACAGTAATACTAAGAGCAAGCTGAGGAAAGGGCTGTGGTCGCCGGAGGAAGACGAGAAGCTGATGAGGTACATGGTGACGAATGGACAAGGTTGTTGGAGCGACATTGCCAGAAACGCTGGACTTCTTCGTTGTGGCAAAAGTTGTCGGCTGCGTTGGATCAATTACCTCAGACCTGACCTCAAACGTGGTGCTTTTTCCCTTCATGAGGAACACCTCATCATTCATCTTCACTCTCTCCTTGGCAACAGGTAACGAACTCATTTTTCCTCCGACATTGTTCTGAACCATGTTCTTATTTGCCTTGCAATTCTCTCAAGTTGTTTTTTTTTTTTGGTCATGCATATGTTATTAATTGTTCGGTATCTCAAGAGGAAGTGAGAGTAGAAATATTCTTTAAAAAAAAAAAAACCTAGATAATCTTATCCTAAGCCCATCTCAGTTTCATCACAGCTCTGATTACTTATTGCATATTTATACATTACAAGCTAAAGAATTTGGTTTAGCAGAATTATATTAGAATGAAAGATGAACAACTGCATGTAAAAGTACATCTCCCGTGAAAAAGCCAAATGAGATAGTACTATATATTAATTTTCTGTCATTTGGGATTTCTTGTTATGAAGCATATGCATATGCATATATATATATATATATATATATATTTGCACACTTCATTCAACCAAAATAAACCTTCCCTGATATCCCAAAAAGAGACACCTGGTAATTTTAATTCTCTTGTACAAATATCTACAATATAAGTAACTTTCAATTTTTTCCCCTTTGATTGTCTTTTACATATAAAACAGCATATTGTTCTGCTCTACTCGTTCAGCTTATATATTATCCTTTTAGAGCTATGATCTAATGCCTTCAGACTGCACATTTTTCAATCACATTATTGCCTTCCACGAATCTCTGTAAATCATGAGTAATTTAAAATTCTATAGGGTTTGGTCCAATTAATAATTAATTTTTTCCTCATATTCAGATGGTCTCAGATTGCTGCGCGTCTTCCTGGAAGAACAGACAATGAGATTAAGAATTTCTGGAACTCTACATTGAAGAAAAGGTTCAAAAATAACAACACTTCCTCATCTTCATCACCAAACAACTCATCATCCTCGACATCCTCATCATCAGACCCTAAAAATCATGTCCTGATCAGTGGAAACTCATCAAGCATGATCGACCCATTAATGCCCATGAACTTCTCTAATTCCTCCACGTCATCCTCCTTGTCCATGCAAGTCCCCATCATCTTCGGAGATCAATTAGTTTCCGATACCTTTTTCACGTTGAATCATCATCTTGACACGAACAATGTCGAAGGAGCTGGTAATTTTCCTTTATCTGCAGAACTCGGCGACATAGAAGAAGGGCTTTATAATAATAATGGACATTATGGGACAACATTACTACAGCCTAGTTGCAACCTGGAAGGTGGTCGTGGAGGCAATATCGAGGTCCCAAATTTTCATGATCTTAGTGTGAAAAGCCACTACAACAACTTCAATAATAGTTGCTTCAATTACACTAATGATCATCATCAAATGATTCAGAGCTCAAGTAGAGTAGAGGGAGAGGGCATGTTTGGGTTAGGAAATAGCAATAAGATCATCAATAATCATACTATTATTAATGAGCATCACTTAGGAGATCAAAACCTAGTGGGAGATCAATGGGATTTGGAAGATCTGATGCAAGATATGTCTTCTTTTCCCTTCCATGATTTTTCCAAGTTAGTCGAATAATAATTAAGCAGTGCCAATATATACCAATTTTCAGCGAGAAAAGAACCATATTTTGAATAAAATTCTGAGTGAGAGAGAGAACCGGAGAGGACTCTTTTTAGGCATTACTTTTACAAACCCTTTTTCCCCTTCATTGGAAGCGACCGACTCTGAGATTATATATCCAAATGTCTTAGGTGATATTGTTAGTGTCTGTGTCTCTCTAGGGTGGCTTACATGGGAAGCAATGATATTTGCGGGAATAGCTAGGGTTGGTGCAATAATAAATAATCATGAAGGGGAGAAATGTGAATAGTGATGATTAAGGATAGTGAAGAAGAGCAGAAGAATAAAAACGTAGTCAAGTTTAGTTGTGCTTTTGAATTTTAAATGTATAGTTTATGTTTGTGTATGGCTTAAGGAATAATATTGTTATTGAAAGATCGTGGTAGCTGATAAAAAAATGTACAATTTTCTGTATGATGTATCAATCTATCAGATCACATTTGCGAATTAGGAACCACTTTGGATTTCTTATCTCCTCCTTCTCCTTCTTTCTCTCTCGCTCTCTCTCTCTCTCTCTCTACACACACACACACACACACATCTTGAATTTGACTCCTCTAAAATTATGACGTGTTTTTAAAGTTGAGAGGAGAATTAAATTTGCATGATGTTGGCTTGCTTTATATGCAATTATCATCTATTAAATCATATTAGCCTCAATTCCAATTAACAGTTAAGAGGTGGCTCTTACAACGACCAACGAATTTTTTCTTTTTTTGTGTGTGGCTTTTATTCAAAATCAAATCATGAGGTTTAAGGATATCAATTTTCTTCCATTTGGTTCAATATCAGGTTGGGGTTCACTTCCTTCCCCCCTATGTGGTTATGTGCCTTTGAATATTTCTCATATACTCTTAGTTTCATAACAATTACTCCATTCTATCCTTTTATTTTTTTTTAATACACGATACAAATAACCGAATTGTGAAGATTAAGAGTTTGGGTAAAGTAAATAAATATGTAAAAAATGTGACTTATTTTCTGAAAAAAAAAACACCATTCTTATATGGTGAGAGAAAGTAAGCAAATGTAGCGAGACTAATAATCAATAACTAGTGAGACAAAAATGAAAAATGATATTAAAAATTTCAGACAAACTATGAATGTATCTTATAAGTAGAAAAATGTCATCGTTAAATAAATTCTCTGTTTTTTTTTTGCCAACTCTAAATAAAAAATTCTCTTGTATGTGGGACCGGATCGATGGAGTGTTGTTTAATCTACCATTGACTATTAAAGAAGCTCATGATAAATAGCTTAGATTTCTACGATTTTAATTATATTTGACCTAAACATCTTTATATTAATTATCTAATTATCTCCTAGACTCCTACGTAGTATCCTCCACACATCCTACGTTTTGTTTCTTTTTCTTTTAGTTTTTTTTTTTTTGCGTCTTCCTCTCTCCCTATTGGGGACAATCCCATTCGAGATACTGTTGGCACTAAATGTGAGCTTCTTTTCTAGTGGGGATTCAAATATTAATTCGTTATGTTATGAGAGACTAACTTCTTCTATTAGATTTAATCCTTGTGAGTTATTTTGTTTTTGGTAATATTATTTGAGTCATATTAACTAGACCAAGAACTTTGAAATAGTATAATAGCCCGTTGTTGGATAAAAGTTAATCAATGGGACCCTCTCGTCCTTGGGTTCAACTAGCGAAGAGAGTGGACACTCTCACAACATGGAGAGGGTTTGATCTTAGAGTTAGTCGAAATGTTGGAGGAGGCATATTTGCAGTTTAGTAAAACTAGGAGATTCCTATCTATTAGACCTGATGAAAAAGGGTTTACTTTTCATGCCTTCGTGCCTATGGGGGTTAGGTCCCAGTAAATCATGAATTAATTTCCTTGCTTTTAGATTGTGAGTGAGCCCAAATCCTTTTCTAAAATTTTTGTACAAAAAAGCCAGCAATGAGAAGTTATTGGGTATTAATTCTTAAGCCCAAGGAATTAGGCCCATTCCAATAAATAATTATAGAAAAAATAGCAAATAAAGACCCTTCAATATATGAAATTACAATTTGAGATCCTTAATTTGAAAAATAACAAATAAAGATCTTGTCTCATATTGCAAATATAAAATTTTGATGAAATATTTGAAATGCCCCTTAGTCAAATGATAAGTTGACTATGAAAAATGACAAGTTCACTTGATCAAATGACAATTTTAGTAGACCAAATTACAACTTAGTTTAGGATATGCCAAATAGCAAATTAATTATGAGAAAATGATAAGTTCACTTTAACGAATGACAATTTCAGTAGGTCAAATCACAATTGGTTGAGGGGCATTTGAGAGATTTTACTAAGATTTCATATTTACAATATGAGACCAGGTCTTTATCTGCCATTTTCTAAATTAAGAGTCTCAAATCGTAATTTCACATATTATGAGTCTTTGTTTGCAATTTTCTCATAATTATATGTTTGGATAGGCCCATTAAATTAAATTATTTTCAAAAGCAAAATACGAGATCATGCAAGCCAATAAGAGTGGTTTAGCTAATAAAAAGTGGGTTTATATGGTCTATAAAGTTGTGAATTCAAATTTTATTGCAGATGTAAGGATCTTGTTGGTGAATAACCTGTAAGTACTTTTGCAAACGCTCTTTGAGTTTGAAAATATGTTTTAATTCTAGGAGCCTTTGAAACTCAACCCATCTAAATTTTTTTTATATATATTATTCCTCTGGTCCTAAATATAAAGTTTTTTTGTAATATAATTTACACTATAAAAAAATCTTATATCTAGAATTGGAGGAATAAAAAAACAGAGATCATGCAGCCATATGCGATAAAGTTAAAAAAGGGCAAAAGCGAAGGAGCTTGTGGCTTCCACACGAAAGTAGTTGTGGGGAAAACAGAGAGAGGAAGCCTCTAGAAAATTGCTCCGGTTAGGCTATCACCCTTCGCCCACTATACTTTGTCGGTTATCCTATATATATAAACTAGTCAGAGGAATGGTTTTAGCCCTATATAAACAGGCCTCCTGAAAACTCTCGCTGGTTCTTTTACTCCCTTTTACTTTTTAATTAAAAAGTATTGGAGTTCCGTCCTTAAGGGTATGTTTGGCTCAATGAGAGGAAAGGGAGGGGAGGGATTTTAATGGAAGGAAGGGGAGAGGAGGGGAGTGGAAGGATTTTAATATTATCTTGTTTGGATTTATAAAAAAAGAGGGGAGGGGAGGGAAAAATATTTTAATATGGATAATTTTGCTCTTATTTTATTTAAAGTGTGGGCATAATAGTCACAACATGACAAAATATAGACATAATAGTTACAACATGACAAAATATGGGCATAATGGTCATAATATGACAAAATATTGCCATTTCCCTCTAAATCCTCCCAATTTTGGAGGGGAGGTTGGGGAGGGGAGGGGAGGGGAAATTTTAAAAAATTTTCCCTCCCTCCTAAAAGTTGTGTGTTGCCAAACAAGGGAAAATGATTAAAATCCCTCCCTCCCCTCCCTCCCTCCCTCCCACCCAAATCCCTCATACCAAACACACCCTAAAAGAGACAACTCGGTTTGTAAGTAAATTTCTCCGCCCATATTGAAACAAGCTCAAGCGTTGTAATTTGGTTCAATCTTGCCCCATCTCGACCTGTGAACACAGTTTTTGGGTTTTGGTTGAAAACAAGCTGCCAGAAAACTCTCTCTCGTTCTTTTTGCCTTTTACTTTTAATTCAAAAGTATTGTAGTTTTTTATTCAAAGACAAAATTCGTCAGTAAATTTCTCTGCCCGTATTGAAACAAGCTCAAGCCATGCATGAGTTGACTCAATTGCCTCTCAATTGAGATGCAATTGACTTGAAATGTTTCAGATCTGATTTATGGACTGTCTTAATTGTCTAGATATATTGAGGAAAATTGAGAAGTAATTGAGCATCCTGTAGTGACACCCATCGGCTTCTTAATTAGTCCCTTACCCCCTAGTGACAGGACGCTTTATGCGGGCTTCCCATCTTTTGATGGTAAGGACTCAGGAGACATTACCATTGGTCAACAAGACATCTAAACAACCGCTGCTAGGCCTTCATAACTTTGAATTTGAAGCACTTGTTTTTGCTTTCCTATATTTGTGGCTTTTTTACGACTGGTAGAATCGATAATGAAGTTTTTTCTACATGCCAGATCTTGAATTAGCAATTTCATCCTATCTCCAAAAAAATTGCAGTTGTTTGGAATTTTTTCTTTTCGGAAATGGAATATTTACAGAATTCTCATCTCATTGAATTTGTAGCTCAGTGGTGGCTATTGTTACCTGCTTGGTTGGCTTGCAATACGGACATATTATTCTGAGCTGACGGTTCATAGTAGTTTTCTTATATTATCTACTTTTCAACACGATATAATGTTAATTTTGTAAAATGTGTCTAACAATTTTGTGCCTACCTTTCAATTTTTTTTTTTTTTAAAATGCGGGTTGATGTTTGTGGATATCGTCGCGTTACGACGGTCATGAAATGGATGGGTATAGCGATTTATACCCTTGCCGCTTGCATCGTGTTACCTCTGATCCTTAATATAAGATTTTATTTGATTTTTATTTTAGTCCTAATATAAGACACCAATCCACTTTGTTTCTAATATTTGTGTATTTTTTTCTAAGGTAGTTCTTTTAATAATGGTAGTTTTAATCAACACACTTGATTAATAAAGATATTTTAGGAAAAACAACATATTTATTACAAATAACTAACTTAACTTGTCTTTTTAATTTCTTTAAATTAGTCAACTAGCTCTTATAATTAGGATCGAAGGTAGTATTTCCTATCGTCCTGCAAGGATTTTATTGGGGCCACCCACGGAATAATATCGTAAGCCCCTCTGCACCGTAACCTGTATTTTTAATTTCTTTGCATACCCAGTGCTTTTTTTTTTTTTGGGGTTAATACCATTTATTCTTTGAATTTGGTTTCTGAAATTTGGAACAAGTAGTTTTGGTCATTAAAATTTGACTTCATTTTGGTTACGATCCTGAAATTTGATTTATTTTGGTGCACCTAAAGATTTTTTTGTCCTTTAAACTATTGGTTTCAAAATTTCAAGAACTAAAAATGAGGTAAATATCAATGTGTTTTTTTTTTTTTTGGGGCCCTGAATGGTCTTTACTCTTGGTTTTTACAACTGAAATTAAATCTGCAATTTTTACATTATCCTTTATGGCAGCTTAGGTTAGTTGGAATCGGAACTTGAATGGAAGAGGCAGATAAGATCGTGGACTTGATTTATTTGGAGTTCGAAGTTCAACTTTGGGCTAGTTGTTGAGTGCTTGGTTAGGGGAAGCGGATCGCGCTCCACATCTACGGGAGATACCTATTTTGGAGGCAGCTTCACCTATTGATTATTAGTTGGCCTGCGCCTACGCTGTTTAGTTTAGCGAGTAAACGATGAAAGCCAAGATCTCACGATGAATTCACGTTTGACTGAACATCGATGCAAAATTTTAATTTTCAATTATTATTAGTATGCATTATTTAGTACTACTTCCGGTTTTTAATATAAGGCTTTATTTGACTTTTATTTTGGTCCTAAATATAAAATCTCAATCCACTTTGTCTCTCATATTTATGCATTTTTTCCCTAAGATAGTCTTTCAAATAATGGTAGTTCTAACCAATATACTTGATTATCAAAGATATTTTAAGAAAGACAATACTTATTTATTACAAATAACTAACTTAACTTATTTTTTTAATCTCTTTATATTAGTCAACTAGATTTTATAATTAGGAGTGGAAGTAGTATTTATTGACATAGAAACAAAAAGTATTCCCTGTTCGACGCCCCCCACATCATTTAAGGGTCTGTTTGGACCTTTGATAGCCAAGAACCCGTTTGGCATTTTGTGAGGTGTTTGGTAGCTTTTGGCCAGTCTTATTTATAAGCTAAAAGCTGCTTTTTTTTAAGAAAGATTGTAAAGTTATGTGAAACTTACTTATAATTTATGGGAAAGTATATTTTTGAAATTAAAAGATATTTTTACTCTTATGTTGTCTTTATACTTCTCTTTGCATTTTTTTTATGCTTCCTAATCAATTTATAGTTATTTATTTTTAATGTTTTCTTGCATTTTTAATTTTTAACATGATTTTTTATAATATTTTTTATTTTTAATGTTATTTTTTATTTTATATTTATATAAATTGTACAAAATGTATCATCCAATTAATTATATAATATTATTTGGTTCAAAAATTTTCACATTACTATAATTTCTAATTTAAAGATATTGTATCCATAAAATATAACATCTTCCCATTATAATAATTTAAAATTATTATATTATGCAAACTTATGATTTTTTTTCATTTTTTATTATTTAATAGAGTTATATCCTTCTTAGTTATTTTACAACTAAATTTACTTATCCAATCATAATCTAAATAATTTTTTTACTTTACAAATTAACTTTTATAAAAGCCAATTCAACCAAAAATTATATTACCCAATCTCACTTTTTTAAAAGTTAAAAGTTAAATTGAAAATAAGTTATTTTTTCTACTGCTAATCCAACTAGATCCTGAGTAATTCAAAAGGAAGCATAGTCGTGTATTTTTTTTCCTCTCGGAAGAATCTTAATTTGGAACCAATTTGGGAAGTTAATTATGGACAAAATTTAGATAAATTACTTAGATTTATTAAGTTAAATTTATAGATGAATTTGTAAATATTATTTTAATAAATAATAATAAAATAATAAATGTTGAACCAGGTGAATCCCCCATGACATTGAAATAATGACTCCTATCTTATTTGTCCAAAAAAAAAAAGGAATACGTTATAAAAAAATTAATTAATCAGTTGGTATGTATTTAGAATATATTTTACATTTATATTGCACTCCTTTTGTCTTTTTAAAATAAAATACAATTAATCAAATTACGTTATTTGAAATGTTAAAATTAATTGAAAACGATCGACATGTAAAAAATATAACTTTTTTGCCAAATATAATCTCATTTACGTGGAAGAGTGGGTGTGATTAAGAGAGAATATGTGAAAATTAAATACAATTATATAAATAATTAAATAAGTGTAAAATAAGATATTAACAAACAAATTTTGTTATTATCTCTAAATATCTCTTATAAAAAAAAACCGGAAGGAGCACAATTTTGTCTTGACATTTATGCTCATGTACTTTAAATTAACACGTTTATGATATTTGCTGTCAATTCTGAGCTTGCACACCCAGTTTATACCATGCTCCACATTTGTGTTTGATAATGGATAATGACAAAAGTATGAAGTCGTCATCACTAAGATGTTGTTTTGATTAACTTTTTAAAAGTGTTTTGTTAGATTTCTACCTGCATAAAAATACCATCTTTTAAGTGTTTTTAGGAGTTACCAAACACCCCTCCTAAGTCTGAAATGTGATACTAAAATTTGATATTTGATTAAAAACGTATGACCTCACCATGCAAATTGATTTCTTGTCATTAATGAGCCGCTAATTAATCACAACCTTAATTTGCAGGAAAGTGTTATACTACCTCCGATCCTTAATATAAGACCTCATTTGATTTTTATTTTAATCCTAAATATAAGACTTCAATCTACTTTGTCTCTCATATTTATGTATTTTTTCCCAAGTTAGTCCTTCTAACAATAGTAACTCTAACTAACACACCTGATCAGCAAGAAAGATAACATATATTTATTACAAATAGCTAACTTAACTTCTTTCTTTAATCTCTTCAAATTAGTCAATTAGCTCTTATAATTAAAACCGGAGGTAGTATGATATTTTACCTTCAGCTGGTTTTTTTTTTTTAAAAAAAAAAAAATAGAATATGCAAGATGCTCATGGAAGAAATTAGAGGTTGAAAAAATACATATCTTTTCACTATATTTTACCATATCAATAATATTTCATGTATAATATAATAATGATCGTACAATGTGACAAATGACGCAAAGGAACTTCACATGGCCAACTCCTTTGCTGACGACTTTTCTAGTACTTGGACCTACTGAAGAAATACTCTCAACAATTAATTCCACTCACCACCAATACATGGATTCTTTTAGCTGTGTGACGTTCATAAGTAGATCATTGGTGCAAGTGTTATCACAAAAAACAGTCCTAAGAAGAAAAGGGATAGGACAAAAAAAAAGTCCTATAAGGAGTCGGCATAATAGAACATGTCAGAGACTAAATATGAATATCAACCCAAAAGACTAACTCTTTTCAGGGCACTTCATTTCCAGATAAGTTCTACCCCAGGTCAAAAGGGTTATCTTTGAACAGAAAGCTTTTAGCTATTGAAACGTGACTTTGAGTACTTCTTGATTCTCAAAGAAATAAGCACACTAGATAGTATACCAACTACTGGAAACAGGTAAGACCATATTGGAGATTTCCCAGAGCCAGAGGCCGTAGCAACAGCAGCACCAGCAAGGCTTCCAAGAGAAGTATTCTGCAGGATCATTGGGATGCATCCGATAACAGTGGGAAGCAGAAAATCCAACAAGAACCCTACTTTAGTAGCAGCAAGTGCATAGTTAACAACATAGGAGGGCAAAGGAGAGAAGCGAGCAAGAAGTACAAATTTCCAACCATCTTGCTCAACTCCTCTAGAAAGGAGATGAAAATATTTGTTTTTCTGAGCCCACCCTACTGCTGAACTTGAACTTCTCAAGATTAACCTGAATTGAAAAAAGGAATCGAGTTGAATTCGATTGAAACAAATAACGTCAAACATAGGAGGACTTATGCGTGTTAATTGCAAACATAACATTTAATGCAAGGGAAACTGTTGCTCAACTTGTTAACAAGAGTAGGGTAGCCTTCATGCAACAACCTTATTGACTAATGCTATCCACCAACAAAATTTAATCTCATTGGGGTAGCACAACACAGGCAGTTTTCAGCAAACTGTCGTAGTGATTTTCATGTCACTGAACCAAGAATGAGAGCTTAATCTCTGGTAATGTAATATTGTTTAAACTCACCATATACTTTATGAACCTACTTATATCAGGATAAATTCATGACTACCCTCAGGGACAAGAACTATCTGACTCTTTCTTCTGAATATATACATAAGGCCATAACCTGAGCTTGTGCGAGAAGTTAAATAGACGCAATAAAACCACAAAATACAAGGGCATTAATTCTGACTCTTGTAGTTCCTGGCACACATATCTATTGAAAGACAGAAAGAAACTAAAATTATTTTTCTCAGGCAATTTAGCTTGCAAGATAAACAGCTGATAAGAATTCCTTTTCCATTGTTATCCTAAATAATAGGAGATATCAAGGAGTATTTTCAAGATATTCCCAGGTTCTCAAACCAGATGGATATTGAAATTAGAGTGCATTGATGCATTCTTTAGATTCAGTAGCGAAGACATTGGTTGATCAAAACCATCGAGAAGTGATTATTCAATACGGGGTTAAAAAGGAAAAAGAAAGAGGGTCACAACCTGTAATTCTAGGAGTCTCTACGCTCTAGTCTCGAGCAAATGACAGCCCACTACCATTTATCGAAAAAGACGGTTTTAAAATAAGATTTACATACCCTCAATCGGTACTTTCTCTACCGATGAGTAGGTTTTTTGTTTTACCTCACTACTGATGAATAGGTTAATATGCTTATATAGGTAGAATTTCGCTATTCACCTTATACAAAAAAATCAATGATCAATATCAGGAAACGAGTAGGGTAGTGAAGGATGAACTGACTGGTATACAATTACAACTCATATGAATTAACCCAGAGTCTCTCCGCGACTTAATTTGATGAAGACTGGATTCAACTTAACAGATTGATCAGAGAATAGCCTCAGCTGAGTCCGTGACTAATAAGTCACAGAGGATTATTATTTTTTATCATAAATACAAGATACCAATCTATTCTATTTTTTATATTTATATTTTTTCTCAACATAATTCTTCTAATAATAATAATTCTAATGATTAATAATGATATTTTAGAAAAGACAACATATTTATTAAAAATAACTAATTTAATTTTTTTTTAATCTCTTCAAATTAGTCAACTAGCTCTTATAATTAGGATGGAAATAGCATTAAACAAGGAAAGCCAGTCAAAATTCAACCAAAACCTAATAAAGATATGAGAGTCTTGTTCCATTGACGATAAACAACGAAATTGATATAGAAGAAGAAGAAGGCAAACCTGCCGATCCAGAACGAAAGAGAAGCACCGAGCACCTTAGCCGAGAAGACGCAGAGCAGGGCCGGGAAAAAGCCAAATAGCAGAGAAGCGGCGGCTTCCAAGAAAACAGAAGAGGGCAAACAGAGAGCGAGAGAGAGTGTATGTATAGCGACGTACAGTGGGATGGCCCAAATACCCAGTTTATCATACTGATCTTTCAATATCTGAATAGCTACGTCTTTGTCCCAGTCCCATCCATAATTCTTTATCAATCCTCTAAATATCCCCAGGATCCCCACAAGCACAGCTATCTTCAACCATCTTCCCATTCCCATTTTCTCCTACGCAGCTGGGGCAGAGATCTCGCGCCCAAATTTCTCGCTACTTATCGCCGCCCTTCGTTCGCCGAGCGTTTGGATCGGTCCGGGGCACTTCTATCCCAAACACATTGTGGCTATAGACGTTTGATTTTCGTTTCCGGGTCATACCTAAATTTTGACTATTTGACTTTTGGAAAAATTAAAATGACCTGCGCAGTTGACTATTTGAGAAAATTGTGGTTATTTGAAAAAGTCTAAATTAATATTCTCTCCGGTTTAAAATATAAACTAAATTTTATCTATTTATGTTTATAAAAAAAGTTAAAATTAGTTTGAAATAATAAATATGCAAGCCATATATTTTTTTCCCAGACATGCTCTTATCAATAAAAAAAATAAGTAAAAGATACAATAAATGAATCAAAGAAGAAAAAAAAAGTATGATGATAAAATTAAAAAAAAAACTCATTAAATACTTAGATAAAAGTGAATGTTATTTTATAAAAAAATCAAGCATCTTTAACAAAATTTATCTTATATTTTGAACTAGATGGAGTATTAAAGAAAGGGAAAATCCCAAAAAATATATGCCCTAAAAATTTTTACATAGCAAGTGAGTGATTCAAATATGAAAGATAACGTTGGCAAAAAAAGAAATAAAAAATATCGAATCAGCTTAGTTGAATCAATTTGAAATTTTCAAATATTGTCTTAAAGACGCCACTGCCCCCACTTACATAGAAAAGCAAACAAGGCAAAAGCAACGTAGACACTGTAAAGGAGGGAAACAAGACTAGACAAGTTGGACACGTGGATTTTCTCTATTAAGGTATCTATTTGATATGCTAATTAGTAATTCCTTAACAAGGGAGTTGTACATTGTCTGAACCTGGTCAAATATTCACTATCTTATTAGTTATGTGCTTGCTGCTAATTCTGAAATTAAAAAAAAAAGAGGTAAGGATGAAAAGATTTTACTGATCGAGAAAGGCAAAGAGCGAAGGGAAAGATTATTCTAGATTATTCTCTTAGTTACAATATAACAATGTTAATATAGAGGAAGATTTATTTCTTGTGAGTAAAGGATATATATAGAAAAGCGACTAACTTACTACTATCCAGCTAACAGGGTAAAAGTACATCTATTTAACATAGACGAAGGTTTAATTACACGGATGAGACTTGAAGAGGGAGAATTTCACATCTCTAACATAAATCCCTATAGATCATCTACATGGCAAACAAGAAACCTCATATTTTAAGTTTACATTTAAAATTAAAACATCACTCCCTCTCTCATTTATGTAGAGGTGTGAGCTAGAAACAAAGATAAATATGCAGATTCACACAAAAACCAAGGTACAAAAGTGATGTTGAAAATATATGATACGTTAATATATAATTATATATACTCGCACGAGGCTGTCATATTTCATAGGTCATTCCGACCTTAAGAAGCCTTTTACGAGAAACAGCCATATGTGTGACCCCTTGCCTAAAGTTGTGCCTCAAGAATCTGTAAATATAATTGACAACGATCTTATTGATGAAGGATGAATTAGGCTTAGCCACCACGTCTGCTTCCCCCAACAAATACACCACCCCTTTCTCCCTTGCTTTTGCCACAAACTTGACCTCCTCATCAACAGCATTGTGGCCTTGAGGGGCACGGGTAGAATCTGATGAGGCACGTGAAATTCCCAGATTTAGCTCTGGTGCTATCCTGTGAGAACTAGAGCTTTTCCCTCTCATCACCTCACCATCACTCTCCTTCTCGTTCCAGGCCAAAGCACCAACTTGTGCTGTGCTTCCCTGAGCCTCTTCATGGATCATAATAAGATCTTCATGACGAATAAACTCCTCTAAGTGTTGAACTAGTTGATTTTCAAACACCTCTGGTTCTTCAATCCTATCATTGTAACCATACCTCACAACACATCGAAACATCCTGTGCTCTCTTGGTCCCACCTGGCGAAATAGGAACCTCTCTTCTAATGCGACTCTGCTAAGAGGAATTGACTTTATGGAAACAAACACAACCACAGAGTGGATTGATGGTACATTGGCAATGAAGTGAGGGAATATGGGAGGAATACCCTGAACTAGCTCAGAATATAAAAGTCCGATTCCGGGCACACGGTTCACATTCGAACCATTGATCAATTCATTCACATGTTCTGTGGAGATCTTGTTCTCAAGCTCAAAATTGTATCTTTCTTTGTGCACATAATGCCATATTCCCATGATTATGGTAAAGAAGATAGCAGATACAATTGGAAGAAAGCCTCCTTGTGGAAACTTGGTTAATTGAGATGAAAGATAGAGTGCCTCTATGGAGCCAAATATCAGAAGGAAGAGAGTAACCCACCAGAGACTTGTCTTCCAAATAGTTAGCATTATAAGTGTAACCAGCGAGGTCGTGATCATCATGTCAGAAACCACAGCAATCCCTGCATCACATGTAAAAAGGTTAATTAAAATGAAATGATTCAACCAAATCAAAATAGGTAGATTAACAGGACTTATTAAAAAGAACAGCCACATTTACCATATGCATGACTGATATTTTCTGTGGTCTTGAAGGCTGCACAGATAATAATACAAGCAATCATGAACATGTAGTTGATCTCAGGAATGTAGACTTGGCCGCTGTGCTTCACAGAAGTGTGAACAACCTTCACCCTTGGAAAACAACCCAGATTTAGAGCCTGTGATAAGATGGAAAATGCTCCTGAAATCATTGCTTGGCTAGCTATAATGGCAGCGCCTATGGCTACGACAAATGTTGGCCAATATAAGGGATCTGCACGTTATTATTCACAATTGAAGGGCTAAATGTCAGGGATTAATCCTTTCCAGTTCAAAAGTTTTTGTGTCTGTCTCCTTTTATAATGAATAAACTTACCAGGTATGCTATCATAGAAGGTATTGGACACGTTTTCTGGGAACTTTCGTAGATATGCTGCCTGCCCAGTATATGCAGCTAGTAATGCAGGGAATGTGACACAAGTGAAGCTAATCTGCAACATTATTATTTATCATGTAGGTCAATTCAATTTGTTGCTTCACCAAGGAATTTTCTGGGACAATAGTGTTTTTCTTAGTAGAGAATCCTTGAGAAAAGCTAAGGGATAACGCAGCTTGAGAAAACAGAACCAAAACAGAGTATGCCAAGCTGAAAGAATGATGTTTTGAGCACACTGAGATTTAAGCTTTTTAATTTCCACGATATGAAATTGAACTCCTTTTGCTTTTAGATTTTTTTTTTTTAAATACCCACCTTGGGAATATAATGCTAAATGAAGATTAAACATGGACTTACTTGAACTGCTCGTACGCTAAAGTGACCCAAGTCAGCAAACATGGCTTCTGATCCTGATATTTGTACGTATAGAACACTAATCAATAATTAGAATTTAAGGGAGATCCAAGTCAAAGGAAAAATTAAAGATTCAAAAGTAGCTACGTGCCTGTAATGCATAAAAAGACTCCTCCAAGTGATATCCATCCTTGCTTACCATTCCTCTTGAAATAATCAAATATGTACTTTGGATTGAAAGCACGCAATACCCCAACGTCGTATTTGAATAAATTGTAAAGACCAATTCCGCCGATGAATGAAAACCATATAAGGACAATGGGAGCGAATGAAAATCCCACTTTATCAGTCCCAAATCGTTGAACAGAGAAAAGGCCCACTAGGATCCCTATAGTTATTCCCACAACAGCGCCTGAAAAGATCCAAATAGTAAAAACAATTTCCAATTACGTATACGATCACCTAATCTCGAATTGATTCGTAACTTCAAATATTAATTCACACTTATATGAGAGTATACTACCTTGACCCATGGATTCACTGATCCCGCTTACCGCAGAAAGGACTGCATGCATAGAGTTAAAAACTGGATCAGAAACTGAGCAATATACTACCTCCGTTCCTAATTATAAAAGACGGTTGACTAATTTGAGGAGATTAAAAAAGTAAGTTGAGTTAGTTATTTGTCTTCAATAGGTGTTGTTTTTCCTAAAATATCTTTATTAATCAAATGTATTGACTAGAACTATTATTAGTAGAAGGGTTACTTTGAAAAAAAAATGTATAAATACGAGAAACAAAGTGGATTGGAGTCTTATATTTAGAATTAAAATAAAAGTCAAATAGAGTCTTGTATTAAGCACCGGAGGTAGTATATATATATATATATATATATGTATAATTCTAATCGGTTCTGGATATACCCATTTAGACTGAGATTCAAATACCTGAAATTGACGGAGTAAGAACTCCATCTCCAATCACCATCGCAGTTCCCGCAATGGTTATAAGTACGAGCAAAATCCTCACAGGCTTACTATTTTCTACCTTGTTCTTTATTTTCTCGGCCCGTTTAAGTTGGCTGGATGGTTCTTCCAGTCTGTAGTTTGAAAGCTCCCTGTCCTCTGGCTGTTGATTTGGAATGAGACCCACCTTCAAGTGGCGACATATCAACGAATAGAGCGCAAAAGCTCCGCCTACAAACAAATAAAGTTCATATTTCAGACCCCCAAAAAAAAAAAACAGAGAAAGAAAATAAGTACACAGATCGACCCCACGTCTTTATATCCAAGAAAGAAAGAAAGAACATATACAAGCACAATAACAAGTAGAGATCTTACCGTTTCCATTGTCGTTAGCCCATAAGACGATGAAAACATACTTAAGCATAGGTACGAGGATGATGGTATAGATGATAAGGGACAAGACACCGAGAATGTCATCGATGTTTTGAATCCCTTTGGTGAAAGTACTGGCATACACATAAAGTGGGGACGTGCCGATATCTCCATACACAATCCCCAAGCTTTGAAATGCTAAACTCAGAGTGACTTTCCAAGTAAACTGTGAACAAGCAAAGTGTGAAATTAATTAAGATTCAATCAATAAAGTGAGAAAGACAAAAGGCAAAACCCGAGAGAGAGAGAGAGAGAGAGAGAGAGAGTGAAATAGTGTACCGTTGAGGTTTGGGTCTCAGAAACCCTTCCAGCTTCCAGATTGAGAGAGTCAACTCGACGGAGCTTTGCCCATGAGACCTTACGCTCTTTGAGCTTGTTTTCT